TAGGCCCTCATGCATTTAACTCCCCTTTCCAGATGTTCCATACAGGTTCCCCTCCACTTAGGCTATTGGGCTTGGCCGTCATCATCTACCTCGCCGAACAGATTGACATCGCCGGCCAGCCTCTTCGCCGCGTCCTCCACCTCATCTTTCAGCTACTCCTGCCTTGTCGCACCCGTCCCTCTAGCGAATCTGGCCCCTATCGCTCGAAGATTGATGGCAGGGTAGTGAGACCAGACCACCGCCAGGGCATGGGTCATGACAGAGATAGCGACGTCTCAGTTGAAACCTTTGAAGTTCTCCCATGCCGCCTTGCACCTGGCAATGATGGCGTCTAGATGGGGTGGCCTATCGTCGGGCTAAGGAGCTACCTCCATATCGATACAGTCGAGCACCGGCCTGACTTCGACCACCATGGCGTCAAATCTTCCCCTTTGGATTTTTGCCTCCAGCTCCAACACGTCGAACTGTGTCTTGGTTCTTCGACGGTATTCTGCAGACACCAAAGGGATCCGTCGAACGAAGAAATCATTATAGCAACGACTCTGACCATGAACTACTCACCTTCTAGATCCTTGACCAGTTTCTCCGCTCGCCCAAATGCCTTCTCCTTCTCCTCTTGGAGTTGATTGATGACTTGACGCAACCAACCGAGCTCCACATCTTGCTCTACAAACGTAATGGTCGACAGCAACATCAAGACTGTTCGGCAATGCAGAACAAATTCACCTATTCGCAATACCTTTCTTCTGTTCGAAGACGCTTTTTAGCTGCTCGGAGGTGCGCTCTAGCTGTTCGGAGATGTTTTTCTTCTACTTGGTGGCGCGCTCCAGCTGCTCGGAGATAGTTTTCAACTGCCCGGATAAGGTGCCCTTTTGGTACTCCAGATCTTTGTTGTTTGATTCAGCAAGATCCCTTTCGCGTTGGGCCCTCTAGACGTTCTTCTCCATTAGTTTCATCGCCTCCTTCAGCTTCTCGTTCTCCTCATTGAGGGGCTCCATCCTTTTGATCAACTACTGCCGTTGTATGGCAGTTCGCGCTATGCCTTGCAATGCACCAAGATTATAAAGGACCACAGTCTCCAATGCCAAAGACGGACACCGCTGACGTAATACTAACCTCAATTTGCTTCATAGCTATGGAAAGGGTGGACCGTAGCCTCTTCACCTCCCTAGTGGTGTCCTCCTCTTCCACGACCACAACTTCCTCCCCTCGCTTGTGGAAGATGCGGATGGTTTGAGATCGTGATCCTTCACGCTCAATCTCCTCGACCTCGTCCTCTTCCTCCATAGCCGGTGGTGCTCCCTAGGGGCTTGGTGGCCGCACAGAGCAACCGACCATGCCCTGTGGCATCTCAAGGCGCACCGCTTGCTCCTTTGACGCCGCTGGCCTCAACGCCCTAGATTCCGGCACGACATCGGCAGCTCCTGCTTACGCCCTCAAAGATTCGGTGGCTCTCGCCGTTGCTCCTGGCGTCTTCGTTGAATCGCCCGCTGTTGTCGCCAACCGCTCTCCACCTTCAACTCCATCAGCAGTGGTGGTCGGATCCTCCACAAACCAATGAGCGCCCGAGGACTCTGGGACGGAGTCTGTCCGCAATGTCTCCATGTTGTGAATAGCCCCGGCTGCTCGCTAGTCTGGCCTGAAGGATTTAGATCCTCTGCGTGCCCCATTCTGCATCAGATTAGCTCATCAATCACCGCAACTATAAAGATCGGACAACAACCGATCACAAAGCAAAGATACTTACACATCAGTTTCCCGATAAACGGTTATAAACCGACGCTGCCTCCCTGAGCACCCAGGCACTGCTCTAGGGTCAACCCACGTGTCCTGGGCTGGAGGTCTTGTGGCCCCCACCATCGACATCTTCTCTGCTTGCTGCTCGGGGACTCCTTCCCCTCCCTTCGATTGCACCTCCGCGTGCGTGTTGTGCGATGACGCTTTAGTGCTCAGAGGGGGAGCTACTGGAGCCCTGTCATAGTCCGAGCACTCGGATATCGCTGCACTCTACGTCCAAGCGGTCCGATCGCCACCAAGTGAGTTGCCGACCGGCTTGTGGGGAGCTACATCCGCCATTCTTCTCTTCTTTCGGTCCAGCTCATCTTTCGCCACCCTTTTCCCCTAAACTTTTTTTTATACCAGGGGGAACTCTCCTTTTGACCAGCACCTTCGCCTCTGGATTCGGACGAGGTGCTGACGGCACCTTCCTCCGGCTGAGTGGTTGGCCTGGCGTCCATTGCTTTTGGCCAATCGCTCCTCGGCATGCCCGAGAAGTACGCCACCCATTCCTGCAAATGCATCTTTCCACAAGTGAATTAGTCCACTGCTTAGCACCGGCATGGGATCAAAAACACTAGGAACAACAGTCGAGATTTATACCTGAGGAGGTGGGTTCGTGCAGTTGTAGGATTTCGGCTGCCCTGGCATGGTGCACGACACGTTTGGAGTGAATAGTTCAGCGGCCTAGTGTATCGTAGCCTCCTTCGTCCTCTCCCTGGTGCTGTCAGTATCTCCTTTGAAGTCCAAGCCCGGATGAGCCCTCTCCTTGCAGGGCTAGACGCGGCGCATTATGAAGTTCACCGCCACCACCACTCTGCTCATCTTCATGCCCCTTATTAGCTCGAGGAGCTCCTTCACCTGTTCCATATCGGCACTGGTCGGCTTCTCCGACCAGCTCCTTTGATTCTTCGAAATCTGGTCGACATTGCATCAGATGGTAGGATGACTCTGCTTCATATAGAACCACCTGGTATTCCACCCCTTCAGCGAGGTATTCAGTGGCATAGGAATGTATTCGCCCGCCATCCCGTCGCGGAGCTGCAGATACACACCACTGACAACTTTGGAACCACCCCATCCTTTCTTCTTCAGCCAGAAAAAGTGTCGGAAGAGATTGAAATGGGGAAGAATGCCAAGATAGACCTCGCAGAAGTGAATAAACACATAAATGTGCAAAATAGTGTTCGGATGAAGATTACACAAGCTCACTCCCCAATACTCCAACAGATCCTGCAAGAAAGGATGTATTGAAAGTCCTAATCCACACCAGAAATAATCTTCGAAGACAACGAGTTCGTCGGTGTGTGGCATCGGATAGGGCTCACTGTCGGTCGGACGCCATCCGGCGGTGACACGATTAGGAAGAACGCCCACCTCTACCATCTCGTTGAGCTCTATCTCCCCCATGAGTGACGGTACCCATTCCTTGGCATGGCTCGCCCCGGTGGCCGCCTTCTTCGCATTAGCTCCTCCCCTCTTGGCGCCATCCCTTAGATCTAGATCAGAACTGGTCCCTTTACGCAAGCTTTTTAGCCCTAGCGGCGGAGCGCATGTGAATGCGAATGGGGGAGTGCGAGGGCGAGGTGGAAGACGAAGTGGCGGAGTGGCAAAGGTGGGAGCGCGGAGTGCGGTGACGCAGTTATAAAGACACCCTCCCCACTTTTTGCATTCAAGGGTTTTTGGGAAACCGCACCACGTTGATTTGCACCCTTCCAAATTCCCCAAAGCGGCGTGCTGGGCCGTTATCTGGGCTTCTGCGCAACTGTGGCCCATATCGCCCATTTTTTACTCAACTTGGTACTGCCCACCGAATATTCGCCGACCTCTCTGCAATACCATCAAGGCTCAGTAATTTCTACTATGCAGTCATTACTCCGGTTTTTTCTCCAAGATTTGATTAATCGGCACTTCTTGATTTATCTGAGTTTTTCACTTGTGGCTCGGGGACTACGTCATCACTATGATTCGGTTTCTCACCATACTTGGGACTTTTTTGGTTACTGTTGTTTCTGACCCTACGACCACGTGACCACATCACCTACTGTCAGGCTCGGGGACTAAGTGGGCACACTTCACCTTGCGATGAATGTGCGCTTTTCATTTCAAGGCTCAGCCTATGGACTGGTTGCCTGCTCAATTGGTTTTCTGCCTTTCTTCTACTTTTTGGACCCTGGCACCACGTGACCACGTCACCTACTGTCAGGCTCGGGGACTAAGTGGGCACACTTCACCTTGCAGTGAGTGTGTTTTCTTTAATCTAGAAGACCCCGTGCCTCCTGAAGTTGAAGAAGATTATCTCTCTTTCTCATGGTCGGACTCTAAGTGGGCACACTTGGTTCACAGCGAGAAATTTTTTTATTTTGAACTTGAGCTCCTTACATCCTTCTGGCAAGCCTTACTTGGGTAAGCCCGTGCTCGGCCAGACAGTTAAGCTGGTCGATTACGGTCCACAACTGCTCGGTGACTCATTAGAATGGTCGGACTATGAGTCTGACTGCTCGGCTTTGTTTACACCTGCTCGGACAAGCTCAAGACGGCGTTGCACAACAGATACAAGGCGCTCGAGGACTAGCTGTGGGGGGTACGACCCCGGATACCCACTGCATACTCCATGGGCTGCGCCGCCAGGGGTGGTCCAGCCCACAAGACGAAGACTTATGGTGCATGGTACTGCTCGGCGTGTACCGCAAGACGTCAAAGGTGATATCCTGAAGATGCTACGAGATCTATTAGAATATGCTCGATCCCGTGTTTTCTATAATCTGTTATTACTTATCAGTTATTTCCTAGATCTAACCGACTTTTAACCCTACCCCCGGCTATATAAGGCGGGTAAGGGACCCCCTCAAGACACACGTAATATCATACAATAGCCAATACGAACCAACAGACCACAGGAGTAGGGTATTACGTCGTGCGGACGGCCCGAACCTGTCTAACTCTTGTGTCTCTGTTGTCTTATTATTCTTGATTACGCGCATCTCTGCCGATTAATCTACCTTCGTGGGATACCTCTCGGAGGACTGCCGAAGATATTCTGTCGACACTTACCCTCCCCTGTGCAATGTGAGGAGACCACGACTCGAACCCGGAACCTTCCAGTCACAGGCGGTAAGACTCTACCGCTTGCACCAGGCCCGCCCTTCAGTATGGAGAGAACAAAATTATCATTAAATATAGCTGGACTTAAAAACAAACAACTCAAAGAATAGAAGCCTTACCTGCTGGAATCTTCTAACACGTGTCAAACCTGTAAGTACGCCACTAAGCTCATTTCTATGAAGCACTCCGAAATCAGCCATGCGAAGAGGCAACTCTGTAGCAAAAGGTAAGCCAACCACTACACATAAGGTTTGACAAACCAACAAATGCACAGTAAAGGTAGAAAATTTAGGGGCCCTTCAAAAATGAAGATACTACAGAAGGATGATTGGAGCAGCAATAGTCAAGGTTAAATTGCTCATGCAGTTCCATTTGGAGTTAGTATCAGCGACAAAAAGTGCTGACATATTACATCCAATAACCTGTAGTATTGCATTTTTAGCTTGTAAGGTTATGAACCATTATCTAGTACTCCAACTGTGAAGTAGTTGACTAAATGTGAGTATAGATTAAATAACTATTTGGTTCTTTTGTACACCAAATGTGAAGTAGTTGACTATCAGTAAGTGGGCCTGTCATGAGTTGTTTAGGCACTTAGATAATGGCCCTAGGCATGGAGATTTATCGGTTCCGCAACCGCTTTAAGCTATTGTCGTGAAAGCAGAAAGTTTAACTTAAAACAAAACAATTTAGAATACAATAATTAGGAAGAAACTCACCTTTGTATGACCGGACCCTATTAGCAAGCATTAGACAGTGGCCAGGACAATTCATTGGCTTAAGCCCAAATTCCTGTTTCTCAATCTGCACAAGAATTGGTCCAACAAGCAATCAGCAGAGGTTGTAACTCACTGATGAGTCTACGACACATGTAATGTAAAATAAACTGACATAGATTCTGCAGTATAATCTGTGAATGCACATACCTCAAAAACAAACATGTTCTCCTTGTAGTTTGCAGCATGTCCGGAAGTTTCCCAAAGTTGCATATTGTAAATATTTGGGCTCAACACCTATAAGACAGGCATATAAGGAACATAAACAGTGGAATTGAACAACGATGTCTATAATCTAATCCAATTGAGTAAATAACAAACTACTGTAAACCTCTTGGTATCTTCTATCTCTGTACTGTTGTCACATAAAGTCCATCAGTTTGTTATATATCCTAGCACCATGTGGAAGGAAGATGCAGCTTCCAGGGCTGCACAATTGTAAATACAATCAGCAATTCTCCATTAACCAGAGATGTCGCGTTCGAGATATGAAAGCAAGACAAGAAACATAAAGGAGTGCTAAGGTACCTAAGTTCATGGAAAAAGAAGGGTTCCTGTGCTTTCCCTAGTATCCTATGATCACGTTTCTTAGCTTCCTCTAGAAAATGTTTATATTCCTGCAAAGTATCATGTAATACACATAGACGCAAAAGATGAGAACAATAACAAAAGAAAATGCAAGCATATCATTCAGGGACAGATTACAAAACACACAGATCTGAAAGCCATATCCTATCTTGATAATCATAATTATACGGTTACCTGAACTTGTCGGTGCCTCAGAGACACGCTCACTAACAGTTTCACAAATGTGTTGTGCAAATTATCCCTAAACCCATAACCCATGTTAACCAACAGATTCCGAAAACCACAAAGAGATCTTAGACATGGTTTTAAGGTATTGATTCAGGGAAAAGTGCATGTCATATCATCATGTATGAAACTTTTTGCCTAGTCAGGTACTCAGGTGCAACACATGAATCATGAACAAATAATTTATGCTAGTATCTAAAATGTCCGGAAGGGCGGGCCTGGTGCAAGCGGTAGAGTCTTACCGCCTATGACTGGAAGGTCCTGGGTTCGAGTCGCGGTCTCCTCGCATTGCACAAGTGAGGGTAAGGCTTGCCACTGACACCCTTCCCCAGACCCCGCACAGAGTGGGAGCTCTCTGCGCTGGGTACGCCCCTTTTTAGTATCTAAAATGCAAATATAACAGACATGTTCAGCAGGGTTTTAGATTAGTAAACAGTTTACAATTGTCCATGTCATCGAAGATAGCATCATAAGCAGAAATTATATTCTATACCATGAGACGTCGAGAATCAGGGAAAGATATTCCATATACTCTCTGCAGGCTTTCGTGGTCTGCTTTTCCTCTCCAATATGATGATGAAGCCTGAATATTTACATGTGTGTATACATATGAAATAGCCAGTTCCACTATAAAGAGAACCAGAAGATTAGTGCATAATCAAAGAATCATTACCTTCAGACAAGCGAAAGCTTTGACAAAGGAAGTATTTGGAATGTGTGGCCCACGGCATAGGTCAACTAAAGGACCACACCTGTATACTGTAATGGTCTTGTCCTCGGGCAACTCATTAATGATTTCAACCTGAACATATAATTCATTTTTTTGTAAAGAATGAATAGCGGTCATACATGTTTAATAACATAAGCAGCAAAACAATATAGAGGAATGAAACAAACAAGACAGGAGCAAGGAAGGTTGCCTTGAATTTATTTTCAGCAAACATTTCAAGAGCTTTTGCCCTGCTGACCTCGATGCGTTCAAATGGTTGCTTTTCCTGCACCAAGTAGGATTTAACCATGTAAGAACACAATCTATCTAGCTAGAGTGCTTCAATGTGTCAAAAAAACAATGCAAGACATGGATACATCATTAGCGATTCCAAAATTCTGGATCACCACATGTACTTTGTGACCCACATATAATGCATTGAAATAAGCCATCAAGGAAGATAGTGCCCACAAAACAAGTTCACATAATAAGCTTAAATGATGAGTTAAAATTCAAAGCATACCGCAACAGCCTTTTTAGCTTGGTTTTCAATGACACCAAAATGCTCCTCGTTTAAAGTCAGATCATTGTAGTAAGCATCATAGTAGAAACCCTTAACATATCATGTGGAAACATTAGAAAGCAGTTCAACAACAGATAAGATGGCTACATTAACTTCATTAAGCTTTAAGATGATTGGTCCTCAGATCATTTTAATACCTCCCATCTTGTGGTGCAAGGCCCAATACACAGCTTGCAGCCATATGCTCTCTCAAGAGACTGCAAATTTACATCTACAATTAGTGCTAATTGAGTTGAAAATGAATTGTCACATACAGATACTGAAACTCACTTGAACAACAAAATAGCATGAAAAGGTATGGCAATGGCAATGTTTAAATAAAAAACATGCTCAAAGACATGAACAAGCGAAATGCCAACTCATTTCTCCAAGAATATGGGCACTTGAGTGCCAGAAGGTGTCACGGCCTTCATTGGTATCAAACTTGAACATTTGCAATTTACAGTCGCCTTCCAGTGGCCTCCCCATATCCCAGAGTGTTTCGTCCACTTGAGCTATCAAACAACTAGCTGCGAACCCACTTGATATCTCCTTAGCAATATCCATCGGTGTTACAGAGAAGGACAAGAAGAAGATCCAGGACCACATCGCCGCCATCCACATCCTGAAGGAGAGTGGCCTAAAGGGGTCGGGCGTCATCGGGGCCTACCACGCAAGGAGGGTGGCATCATTGATGATGCGATCGCTCCCGCTATACGCGATGGCGCCCGAGGCGTCATTCGACGGAACGACGTTTGCTGAGGGGGCCTCCCCCACTCCGAGGTCGCGCAACGCATTAAGGAGGCGATGGAGCCTTCGTGGGACGACGCGGGCGCCCCCCTCGATTTCTTCTACCCAGTGCCGGGACATCCTCCGATGCGGCCGGAACCAGGCCATGTCGTCTTCATAAGTTTTCCCTCCTCATACCTCCCCTTCAATTGATTTCCCAACCTCTGGATACTAACTTTGAGAGGGAAGGGACTAGCCGAGGGACCTCATCTTCACGGATCACCCGACGTTGTTGCCGAGGGATTCGTCCGTGAGGGCGGCGAATCGCGCCGAGGGCGAGTGGCTGAGAAAGGCGAAGGAGGACAAGAGGAAGAAGAAGCAGCAGAAGCTGCAGGCGCAGGAGCGAAGGGAGGACACCGACAGCGATGGTGATGATGATGATGGAGACGACGATGAGGTAGTCGACGACATCTAGTCGGATGACCTAGAGAACGAGGATATGCTGACAGGTATCGATTCGTCCTTGCAGGAGTCGGGACTCTTCCCATTCCACGGAGGGGAGGGCAAGTCCGGGGAGCCGGCAGAGACAGGCCATACCATCGGCCTGCCCTAGGAGCCAATAGGGGCAGGCGGCTCTGCCGCCGCGCCCGAGGTGCCAGCAGAGGCGGGTGGCTCTGTCGTCGTGCCCTAAGATCCAAGGGGAGCGAGCTCCTCTACCCAAGAGCAGGGGGCGGGCTCAAAACGGCCTCGCCCCGACGAGGCAGAGCAGAGGTCGGGGGTTCGCCCCCCAAACGTATCTACCGCCCGACAGTGCTGAGGTGAGTCATCAGCTCTGTTTTCTCGATTTTTGTCGAATTTCATCGTGATTTATGCTTTTCGTCTCTTGCAGCTCCGAGAGGCAATGTAATCCTTTGGCGCTGGCGCCAAAGAAGAACGTCGCCCTTCAAGCGAGGTTGTAACACCCCAGGTGTTTGTCACCTGTTAGCAGTGGGTTTGAGCTCAAACATGACAGATCAAGTGGTGTTGAAGATGTCAAAGTCAAATGTATGAAATCGAGCTCAACTAGAATTTGGATAAAACACCTTGTTTACATTATAACCCTTTTCAAGATATATGTTTGAGTGATGTTAATAGAACTTATTTCATGTGCCTCACATCACTCTCTATCTATAGTGCTCACTGGAAAAGTTTCATGATGTTTGGAATCAAAAAGTCACATGAAATGATAAGTTATATCCTTGTTGGAATGGTTTTACTAAGTGCTTGAATTGCACTATAAAGTGAATGGAAACATAAGTCATTACCCAAACCTTGCAACCTTGCTCCAACAACTCTAATTGAACTCTACAACAAAAGTTATGAAGGGTTCTTGTTGAGCGGAGGACAAGAAAATACTTCCATCGGTCTAAAACTTGGATTTAAGCTTTACCGTGATGCTACTTTGACTTGGTTTGAATTGTACTCTAGAAACTTTGCATGGAAGTGCACCCTTAAGCAAAGTTGTAGTACTTGACTAGATAAACAACTTTTATATTTGGGTAAAAGTCTAATTCGGTGCATAACCTGCTAAAAAATAGTCCACAAGTAGCAAAAATATTACTGTTTTTGAGAGTGAAAATTTTTCTAAGTCTGAGAGCGCGTTACAGTTTCAAGTGCTGCACTTTGGGTTGATATTACTCTCGAACCATTAAGATTTAGACCAAAACCTCTAAATAAAAGTTGGAGCTGGTATGTAGATCTACAACTTTTATTAATAGAGTTTTTGCTAACTCGTCGTGGTTTAGAAGTTACGGAGGCACGAAATATGGGTTTCAGTGGTATGTTTGAGGTAGAATTGGAAATTTGAAATTGATGAACAGTGCCGACCGTGCGTGCAGGTCGCGTGGCGCTCTCCATGCTTGCATGGCCGCCAGCTCCTCCTTGCCGTGCAGATGTAAAGGACCGGCACCCTCCTCTCCGCTCTCTCCCTCTCTCTCTCTCGCCTCTCCCCTCTCGCTCTTGGCGTGCGTGCTGAGCACGGTCACGCCATGGTCACGCAACAAAACACGACCATTGCTGGCTGTCCTCCTGCCGCTACCACCGGCCGAGCTATGGCCAAGCATCCACGGCTTGCAGCGACCCTACACACTCACCGCCGGTGTCACTGTCTTCGGCCGAACCCACCGTCCGTCTGCCGCCTTTTTCCACCGTCATTGGAGCTGGTGGCTTGGAGCCCATTCTTTGCTCGTGGTTCGCCACTTCAGTTTGCCTCCATCCAAGCTGCGCCCTCCATGGGTGCGCACGGGCCCCACACCATATTGCCCTAGCGCCACTTCGCCGCCACCCGTGCAACCCCCTCCGCCTCCTCTGTTTTGCCCCGGTGAGGGACTTCGTGCATCAATTAGAGCAAATCCAAGGGTCCAACTGCAAACCGTAGACTCATATGAATAGTGCTGATAAGGACCTATTTGTAGTAAATTTGCTGAATCTTTGGAAATTCATAGTAATTCATAGGAAATTCGTAAAATAGCAAATGAGGACTTTTTGGAATCCTTGTAGTGCAGCAACAAGGCATGGAGGTCTTGAGTGTGAATCTATCCCCGTCTGTGTCGTTTAAGGACCGATACGTTGTACGTCCTCATATCATGTTGAACGCAGCCTAACACTTAGCTGGCCGGATAAGTTGTTCCGACCGCGAAGCCTAGTAGCTCGACTCAGGCCGGGGACGCGAGCAGTGGCGTGCATTCTGGAGGTAGTAAGGATATGCGGAGAGCCATTGGCATAAGTCCAAGGCGGGTTAGAGTCCCGGACAACCTTGGCAGAGTGGTTCTCTGAGAATGTCGATCTGTTCGGACTCGCGACTCTGAATCGTACCAAAGGTGACTTCGTTTGCGACCACGACGGGGAAGCGGGGTTTGTGTTTAGGAATACCCCTCCACCGGATAGGAATCGATTGAATCGCCGCTCTCCCGAATAGTGAGAACTTGACCGAGCAAATGACAACGTAGATTCACTAAATTTAAAGTTATGGTTAAAGGATGATGATGATGATGATAATGACAATGAGCCATGAAAAATACGATATGGTTATTATTGTTTGCAACTTAATCAAGTGATTGATTAATACAGGTGCTAATATAAATGGTAGGTAATGGCTAAAAGTCACTGCTAGTACAGGTGAATAATGCTAATGGTTACTCAAGCTTTTATGCAAAAAGGTTGTCCAGGCAGATCCACTAAATTAAGCTATGCATGATCCTTGGTGTCATTTGTTTTTGTTTTCGACGGGTAAGTCTGGCTGAGTACATTCGAGTACTCAGGGTTTATCCCACCATGTTGCGGGTGGAGTTCTCGGCCTGTTGAAGATGGTGGCTAACCGCCGGTGGGCTCGGTGATTCTATAGTTACTTCTCTTCTATATGCTTTTGTTCGATGATGTCACTTATGCTAGCAATATATTTGGAACTTATATTAATGTAATCATTTGAAAGCTATGTTGTTTTCACTAAGCGGTTTTGAAACCCAAACTTGTACTTTTATTTGTGAACCCATATGTAATATTATTTCCGCTGCAACCCTATGTATGTGATGTGTATTTGCTTAATCACACGATCTTGGTTGTGATGTTGATTTACCGAGGTCTTTCGGGACACTCGGCGGACTACCGGGTTTATATAAGTGAAAGTATGTGTGTGTCAACACGTTAGCGGGGATAGCCGTACTTGATCTTGTATAAATTAGGCGGTTCTGTTACAGCTGGCATCAGAGCAAGATTAAGCATAATACTGTCATGTACATTGTTTTAAAAACAAAGTTTTGGTTTTAAAAGCCTATTTTAACTAAAACTTTAGCTCTGGTGCAAATTTGTCAAAACTAATTTGCAAAAATATGCTAGCGACATCCTCCTTTATGCCCGATTAAGGACTATTAGGTGGCTATCTAAGTACTAACATAGGGTTTTTACTTTCGTCGTCCATACGGCATGTTATTGTATGGATGCCATTCGCTTGAATGGTGGTAATGTATGGATCAATTGTCTCTACGCTCGAGGTAAGTGTGAGTTGTGAGAGCATGACCGTCAACCTGTCGGTCTAGGGAGAGTTAGGCTGTGGTTCTTTGGAATATTTACATGTTACACCCATGTATATATGAAGGTACTTAATTGCGTATATTTATCGGGTAGCTATGGATATGAAGTATATACATCTAGGGATGTATATATGGAGAGTATCTTAGTTTCTCGCTTTCATTGTGTGCTTATTTATCTCTTGTGGGGATGGGATGCAATGAATTTGCCCTCTGTGTACGCTAACCAATTAATGCGTAGATTAAAAGTAGCTGACGACTAGCTATATATCGAGAGGGTACGTGTTATGCCACTGACATAGAACGTGATTGCCACCTTAGGCTGGCAATTTGGTGAGGACGAATAGGACGAGCATGCATCATGATTGTGCTTGTGCATAAATATGCTTCCCTCGCCTTGTTCTAATACTAAGTAACTTGTGGTCAATGTGATGTTGCTATCTTCCCTGTGTGAAGCTAGACAAAATGCCTTGTTCCATGTTGCTTGAATAGGAAGTTCTTGAGAAAAGTGTGTGCTTAGCCTTGCTAGAAATAATTGTGGTTACATGTTTAAACCTATAAATGACCTCTAGTTTAGCTAAGTGGTGGGTATGTTGTTCTTACAAGCTTTTGCAAATGCTTTAGGCCTCACTTAAGTACTTGGGGTTCTTATGAATAAAATTAATTTATTGTTGCTCTAAGGTAACAATGTTTAGAGCTACTAGAATAACATGTTTGTGTTCTCTCTTGTTAAGTAGAACAAAGGCAAGTTTTGTTTTGCTTGTGGGACGTTGG